TAATTGGAACACAATGAACACTGGAGAGGATGTTCTTTCTATTTGTGTACTAAGATGCTCCAGAATAGCAGTCTTTATTAAGTTCCAAACTGAGAATGTAATCATTTAGCATCTGCTAGATAAAGTGCAATAAATAAATGTTCTAGATCTTAAATTAAGGCTGGGTCATTTATTACAACTGGAGCAGAAGCACACATAAAATGTATTCAGCTTTGACACTGAAGCAGTCTGATCTTAAAGGAACAGTTCACCTAAAATCAAAATACACGTTTTACCTCTTACCTGTAGTGCTACTTATTAATCTAGATTGTTTTGGTGTGATTTGCTCAGTGTTGGAGATATCAGTGCAGAAGGAAACGTCTATCTACTCATGTACAAGAGGCTCATGGTCATGATTGTTTGAGATAGAGACAAAACATTAATGGTGACCTCTTCAGCTGAGCGCTAATGTTTGCTAGCTCAGAGGTGCTAGGTGAGTTAGCATTAGATGGACACTTCCTCCTGCGCAGTGATACAGCTGGCAGGTGTAGTCCAGTAGAAAGAAGGTAGTTCCTACATGAAATATTAGTCTCATGTTTGTGTCTTTAACATGAGCCACAGAACAGCTTAGCCTGACTGGAAAGAGACTGGAAGCAGGGGGAAACAGCTATCTTGTCCATGATATAACCAGCACCTCTAAAACCCAAAGTGTAGGACTCACAGATGTATAGAGAGAACTGGATACAGTGTTGATTCATACGAAAGTTGCTCAGTGACGCATGAAGCCAAAAAAGTTCAAATGCCGTGTATAAAATTACCCGGATGATCGGCATTGCTTCCGCACTGTGTGGCCCCTAAAGCAGGTGCGCCCGAGCCTGCTAATTCCAGTTTAGAACTCCACTAACTTGAGTTGGGATAAAATGATTTACCCTTTCACCTTGCACCATTTCTAAATGTTATCAGACTGAATGGATCAAATCCTAATGATGCAACGAGTCATTTCGAGAGGGTTATGATGCTCAAAAAAATGTATCCACTGATTAACAGACGTCTCTTTATTTTAAGTCTATGGCAAAAAGTCTTTTGGGGCCTACTGGCATCATGTCACATGCTTGGAAGTTGTAATTCCACTGTTTGGCCACTACAAAAATCGGCTTCAAAGCCTAATGTCACTACTACAACCAGCAAAGAAATAGTTTGGCACACAGTCACATGTAAAATTACAAATTGTAATTTCTACACTTTGATTTTTGTGCTGATTAAACAAACAAGTGTTGGGGAGTGGGGTTTGTTACTCTTGGACATAGCCTGGGTAAGTATGTCCCAAATTCCTTCGAATATGAAGCTACATCCAGAAGACCGTTAGCTTACCCAAGCATAAAAACTGGAAACAGGGGGAAACAGCTAACCTGGCTCTGTCCAAATGTAACAAAAATCCACCTAAGAACACCTCTAAAGCTCATTTAATAACGTTGTTTGTGTAATCTGTACAAAAATCAAAGTGTAGGACCACAGGAAGTCATTGTGCCATGCTAGCAGTTTCCCTCTGCCTCCTGTCTTCATGCTAAGCTAAGCTAGCTGTCTCCTACCTGTAGCTTTATATTTAACATAAAAGAATGGTATTTATCTTCCCATATCTTAGCCATTGATATTAGCTCATTTCCTAATATGTCAACCTATTTCTTGAAAGTCAGAACAATAAAATAGGAAGTTTAGGAAGTTAACATGGTCTGTCTCTTGTACTGGTCATGTGAAATAAAATCCCATTGCTGTGCCTCTAACCACAGGCTTCATATGTCAAATGCATGAATGTGCGGCCATTCAAATGTACAATTCCCGTTTTGTTTCTTTTGTGCTGAGCCCAGTTTACCTGTAGCCTACTTTCTGCGGTCGGCCCCATCCTCAGTTCCCCTGACGGAGTACTACAAAGCCGCAGCATGTGAAACCTGCAGGGCTTTTTGTCCCATCTCGCTTTCACCAAGCCCCGCATCAAGGTGAAAGACAATGGCCTCTGGGTTCTCAGGGCTGTGTGGGGGGCATCAGTGCTGGGATAAGTTAACCACGACCGCCAAGTGCTGATGTTTTGTGATAAGGACACACAGAGTTGCAGCCGGAGGTACAATGGGGGTCTTTGTGGCCGAGCCTGCACAGATAGCACCCAACCAAAAAACTGTGTAATTTGTCGAGTTTCTTACCTCTTGCTTATCTCGCTCCTCTGCACCTCAGGGGTCATGGACAAGTAATAAAGCCTGGCTTCATTTAGGGTTCCTCCAAAGGAATTAGTGAAGGTGTTGTTTACGACTACAGACGTGAAACCTGAGAGCATTTTGAAAGCACAACATAGAATCTAAGTGCTCCGAACCTCCCAGAACTCTCTTTTGTTTGCAGCTACCCATGTTATCCAAATAGCAACTCATTTCTCAGGTCATTTAACTTGAACAGGCCTTGTCGCTGGAGCTGGACCATTACCTTTGGCTTCAAGACATGTTTGGGAAATGTGAGAAAAACAGTTTGTATAATCTGATACCTGAATTATACAAAAGTTATGACAATATTTTTTGTTAAAGGTTAGCAGTCATTAGTCACTGCCAACCTTGGTGTCCTGTACATAGAGCAGTTAGGGGTCTTGGGGTGGAGAGATGAACGCTAATTATTGCCAAACCAACCACCAGAAAACATTTTGCCATTGCACGTTTCTAAAAAGCAGACATGATATGTTACACTTGTACAATACTGAATAGCTGATACATTGAAACGCATGATTCATCAGTTAGGACTTGGTGTTACCATCCCTGGAGTTTCAGCATGCTACATGCCAGAGCATAGGTGTTTTGACTGTGACCACCCAGCAAAGCCAACCCCTGACACATCATCAGTTGTGCACCTCAACATCATCGGGTGTTTCAGCCTTTATCACAAGACACCCTCCGTTAAGGCACGCCCACCACAGGCTGATCAGGCCACGCAATTTTCTTAACTAGGATGGCGAAGGCATGGCTCACCCTACTCTCCCTCTGATTGGCCAGTAGTAACTGCCTTTTTTGGCTGGATTGGTTAGGTTTAGGCATGAGGAACGAGATTGGTTAGGGTTAGTGTAAGAATGTCAGGGTAAGTCAATCGGAGGCAGACTAAGGCAGAGTAGGGTGGGTCTTGCCTTCGCCATCCTAGGAAAAAAAAACTTGCGATCAGGCCTGGGTGTGTGTCAGAAGGTTGGCTCCTCCGTGGTCACCCAGGGGCCCAGACGGGATCCTTTCTCTTCAGCTATAGCCAATGACTGCACCTCTCAGCTATATTGGCCACATCCTTGACCACTTCCCTCTGGACCTGACCATTAATCCCAATTTCCTTGAGGAGCCTAGTGGTGGATCTGGCGACAAAGCCTCTGCAGCCCACCTCTATCGGTCGCACCTCAGCTTTCCAGCCTCTAGGCGCCGCTTCAGTTATGAGGTCAGCGCAGCGCAATCTCTTGCGTTCAAACACCTCCTCAATGGCATTCTCCCAAGGGACAGTTAGTTGTATGAAGAAAGCACACTGACAAGACTTCGACCAGAGGACCAGGTCTGGTCATAAGTTGGTTGCTGCTATCTCAGGTGGAAGTATGAGACGACAACAACATTGTGGTTGATGTGAGATTAGGTTTAACAACTGATTTTTTGTGGCACTATCCAGTAGGAAAAACAGCAACAAGTCCCTAAAAAGCACCCACATTTGGTATCTAAAAAAGCCATTGGAAAAGGAGCCAAACCTGCACTTATTTTTTGGGGCTAAAAAGCCACAAAAAAACAGAAACGGGTCCCAAAACAAATCTATGTATGGTGCCTAAAACAGTGCTGGAAAAAGAGCCTCAGGTTGTTAAGAACACCCACGTTTGATGCCTAAAAAGCCGCTAGAAACGCTGCGATGACTTGCTAAAAATAACCAGGTTTGTTGTTGGTTGGTCTCAAACAGTTGCCTGGAGCTTGGCAGGTCTTGCTTTAGTGTCACACTATCCACTATCCCCTCTACCTCCTGATGACAAAGTCAGCTCATACACTGCATCACTTCAGAAATGTTATGATACATATAAAACATACAAATGTAACATTTTTGGTTTGCAGAAATGTAAGATGCCAACATCTTCTTATGGCGACTGGGCTGTTACTGCACTAGATCTTTACACTTAGCATGAAACCTGAGTGTGTGCATGCGTTCCTGTTATGTGACGGCTGTTTGGAGTTTCAGATAATTAAGAATCAAGAGTGCATAGCCACATGATAACACTCGTCAAGTGCACGCTGCGTGAGGTGAAGCATGCTCTGGTCTGTCTGTCGACATGCACAATTGACTCTCTTAGTCACCCCAACAATGGCAACAGAACATACAAAATACCTCTGTGTGTGTGTGTGTGTGTGTTAGTGTAGGTTTTTTAAAGTCTATAGAGCGAGCAATTCCCCCCCTGAGATCAAGGGTTCAGAGTTTGATTGCAGCGTTACAAAGACAACAGTTCATGTGCAATTCAGTTGAATGAAGACATTTTTTATCAGATGAAAGAACTAATGTGTTTCATATAAATCTGACATTGAAAAAGTTTTGTCTCCCTTTAGTTTGTTTGCCCCAAAGTCTAGGAATGTGCATCAGATTGCATGTAGAAGTAGTTATTCATAATAAACAGACACTCAAAGTTTAATTTTTTCCCAAAATGCTCAGTTAAACTCATGTATTTGGCTGTGATTTCCAGTAAGACTTGATTAAAGTTAGGAACAAATAGACACAGTATGGTGAGACGCCGTTCTGCCTGCCTGCTGCGCCCACTGAGCGTTTTCCATGAGTCAGAGTGGGCGTTATCCGGGCACCGGGGATGCCAACGTCCATAAGCTCTCTCCATCTGTCACCAACAGTCCTCTCCTGTTGGTCAGCATTTCATTCTTTTATTTATCTGTTTCTTTGTTCCCGTGTGCATCAAAACAAAATATGAAAGGGAGGAGGAGGCAGACATCACATTATTTTTTTTATTTTATAAAACATTATATAAAGACCTCAAAAGTTAGGATTCGTCTACAAATTTACAGTCAGGCAGACTTTAGCTGCTAATGTAAAACTGTGCATAACTTCTCAAACCTTGTACTTCATCTTTCCAGTCTTGCTGATGACACAGATATGCTGAAAGAGAAAGATGTGGCAGAAAGACAAAATTAGCATGTGTGACTTTGATGTAAGATTTTTACTTTTCAGTATGTTTCAATCTTGTCCAAAATCTGGTGATGGCAAAATATTTGTTTAAGATCACGCTGCCCTATGGGAAATTCCAGCATGTTTTTAGAGCCTCAATATGCCACATACAGTATGGAAAGATGAAGCTCGCAATCATGCGAAAGCCAGGAGGGTAATCTGCAAAGATATGACACATTCATTAATCTAACTTTGGGCGTCCCAGGGGTTCAACTCATATTTCTGCTGTAGGATAAGGACAGATAAGAAGGGGGAAGCTTTAACTCTTTCGTAATGAAAACCAACCCCCTCAAACATGTGCAACAGACACACACACACACACATGATCATACAGTACATACAGTACACACAGGACACACACCCATGTGAATACACACACGCATACAAAGCTCTGGGAGTCGACCTTGGCTTAGTGTTTCACATGAGTCAGAGGTAAATTTGAGGCCAAGTCTTTACAAATATCAAAATGACAAAGTTCACATAAGTTTGCACTTACTAATTTCACACTGTGAAATCTGGCTTGAAATAAGATGTCGGAGGTGCAACAACAAAAACATAGATACTTTGCACCAACTGACTCAAAGCTGGTAGAGGTGTAAGATGGGTCAAATGTAGCAGTGAAGGGGTCAGAGGAGAAAGAAGTAAAGACTAGTAGAAATACCAGACATGATTTTTAGATGCAAAAGGGGTTAAACTTCTTTGCACAGAGAAATATAAAAGCAACAAAGGAAAAAGAACGAGTTGATGTATAGCTATGCCAGATTCAGACTACATTAGGTGGTCACCATGTCCAATTAGGTAATTATGAGGCCTAAAATTCGAGCTAAATGCTAACAACAATGCTAAAATGCTAATGTTTAGCAGGTAATGTTGAGCATTTTAAGTGTTTTAACATGTTAACATTTGCTAACAAGTATTTTTTATTTTTTTTAAATTATTTGTTATATTTTATTTATTATATATTATTATACATAATTAAATATAAAATGTACATATTTATTTTTTATATATATTTTTGTTTATTTGTTTTATTTATTGTTGTTATTATTGTTATTTAATTATATTATTTAAATTTTTTAATTTCATTTTTTATTTTTTGTATATCTGAGGTCCTCTGTCAGGGATTGTTCTGTTGAAAATTAAGAATTAAATAAAAGGTTTTTAAAAAAATGCTTATTAATGCTAAACACAAAGTACAGCAGAGGCTGACGGGAATAGTATTATTTTAGGCATTTGACCTGATGAAAGGTGATTTTAGCTGCTTTGCCTACATGTTAAGTCTCCTCAGGCAGGAAGGATACCTGTTTGGTGAGTTTAGGTTTCAGGCAGAGAAGCGCATCTCTTTGATTTACTGACTTTAACCCCCCCACCCCTCCTGTCTCTTTCATCTTTTTCTCTTAGCTCTTCAAAAGGTCATGTGCCATGTGCAGCAGTGTCAGCAGAGTCAGGACTCACATTCAGGTCACGGAAGTATTCATTGTAATCCAAGGCATAACCGACAACGAAGCGGTTGGGGATTTCAAATCCAACATCTATCAGAGGAAACACAGGTATGAATGTTAAAGAGTAACATGGTGTGTGTAAATTCTGAAATTAATTTGAGGTTGAATGACATAAGAAAACATACATTTTGTGTTTTTTAAGACCATAAATTTCACATGACATGCAACAAAGGTCTCAAGCTGAGATCGAATCAGGTGCACTGTGTTTACATACTGCTTCATGTCCCTAAATCATTAGTTGATCAGAACACCCTTAAAGTAGGTACTTTCTAAATGGAGTTCAATGGAGGGTTTTTTGAAGCTACAGGAGGGTGTAGCCACCAGTGTAACAACTGCAGCTTAAAGCACTTCTGCTCTAGCTTCACCACTCAGCTGTGGTGGATGCTGCTTGCTGCCTTTCACCATGACGTCTCTTCTATGTCAACCAAATTGCCAGAATAATTAATATTACAAATTGGGTATATTGACACTCTGTTTCTTTGTGTTTCAACAGTGCTGTGTTAATCTGTGGTTATGTTTAGTCACAAAAACCACACTTGGTTATGGTTAGGAAAAGATCAGGTTTAGGCTTAAAACACATGCTTTTGGTGTCACAGTCACGACTGGGAACAATGCCGATATCTGGATAAGATACACCTGATTTTGTTGTTTGTGGCTCTCAAACAGTGGTCCACAGCTTGGCACTTGTGATGGTGTAATCATGACTGGAAATGCCGTAAATGTCCTGCTAAAAAAACACGGTTCTGTTTGTTGGTCTCGAAAAAGAGTCTGCAGTGGTCTGTAGCTTGGCAGCCGTCTGTTAGCAAATATACATGTAATCAGAACCAAGCTACTTAAAACAATTAAAATGATACATTTGAAACACAGAAATGTAACATATCTGTGGTTTGCAGAAACATACAATGTCAACATTTCCCTCTAGTGACTGGGCTGTCCCTGTTGGTTCTGCCTAGTACATCTCCTTACTGGGTGTCCAAATCACCAAATGGTTTCTCCCTGACCGCCCGCAACACAATCCACAAGGAAAGACACTTTGCAGATGAATCTTATTTTTTGTCAGTAGGATTTAATCAAGGAGGCTTATCAGATCAGACAATATTCTTGATGATGAACACATTACTGCTACTACTTACATTACAAAGTGTAGAACCACACTAACTATGCAACTGCTCTGAGAAAGAATGAAAGAAATATGTATTTGTTTAATTGCAACTGAATGGAAAACCTATCAGATGGGGTACAATAAATGATTATTGAGCTCAGACATAGAACTGTAATAATATGAGAGCAACAGATGACTCTAAAAAACAGAGGTACTTACAGTCTGTCAGACTCTCAGCCATGTTAGGGACCCTCTTCACCAGCAGCCTGGAACACATGAAATATAGACATCATTTTGAAAATGCTTCAGTGCTACAATAACTTACCATGACCTAGGACGTATATCTAGTATTTTTTTAAAGAATTATAATAGTCTTACACTGTAACAAATATGCATCCCAATCCAAAGACAGAACTTACATCCATGCAACATGCGAACACTTCAAACGTGTTACACATACAGTACAAGAAGAGATAAACTTTCAACATGGACCATGTGCCAGGAAAGATGTTTATCTTGTGTCTGTGATCTTGGAGTGCATAGAAACAGCCCACGGACACCAGATAGTGACCGCTGACAGGCGATATCTTCTTCTTGTGTTCGTCACAGGCTTGGCATTTCCCCTGGCGAGGACAAACACAGATGACTGAAAATCTAGCTCACCCTGCGACCTTGACCATCTTGGGTTCAAAGGTCTCCACATGCTTCAGAAGGGCCTTCATGGTCTTTCCTGTGTCAACTATGGCCTGAGGGAAGGGAAGAGCAAAGGAAGAGGGAGAGATGAAGAGGGAGGGATGAGGGACATTTGAGTTCAGAATGCTTTGAAGGGGGAAAAAATGGCAGCCAAATATGCAGATCTTAGGATGAAGAACTTCTACCTTGATTAACTATGCAATGAATAAAGAACTACTGGGTATGTACTACTACTGGGAAATTGGAAATTTTCAGTGACATAATTTTAAGATGCCTCCCATTCAAAACTGATTCTTGCAGTAAACACATATTGTAATATCGTGCTTATGTGTTTTTGCCTTTGTCCAGAAACATTTACAACTGAAACATGATCTCGAAGAGAGGGGAGTTTTTTCTTTTTGTCCTTTTGTAGACCAAAACAAAAAAGCACAATGGCTTCTAAGACAACAAGACACCAAATAAGGTGCAACAAGACATTAACAAAGGCATCAAACAAGGTGTAAATATAAAGGTCATGCTTGATAGAATTAATTTAGTTTACTAAAGAGGCAACACTGAGGACACTCACCTCGACAATGAGCACACTCTTGGTAACGTGTAAAAAAAGAGAAGACAACCATTAGTAAAGCATCACCTTTGAATTTTAGCACAGTTCAAGCAAAGTGAAAACAAAGGCAAGATTGTGTCTGTGAGATCTACATTTCTTACAGACGGTATCTATAGCAACAATGTTGGCAGCAACATCGGCGCCTCCACAAAAACACAGAACAACTCATTCTCTCCTCAACAGTAATGAACATCTGTGTCTACAGTGAGCAAAAGTCACTTCTAAAGTGTCCGGGTGTTGCACACTTTCCCTGCTGCAGGGTTTCAAATGACTCCTTGTTCCCTTGGCCGGGTGTATGGGGCTCTTTGTGAGACCAGTGGAGAGTATCTATGGTTTGGGGAGAGTGATCGGAGAGAATGCAGGCGCCTGGCCAATGTTCTCTGGGTCTACACCTGAACACTGTTATACAACACTCAGAGAAAGTCAACAGGGAAGTGTTAACAAACATGAAAACTTCAACATAACTAACCTGTGTTGATGGATGCTGCAATCTGTAAAGGTACTATACAGCCAGGTGGACAATAACTGTGCACTGGCAGTTATTTGACTGTGTTTAGCACCATTGTTTGGGAATTTATAGTCCTCCTTAGATCCCTGGATCTCAGTCGATCAGTCCTGACTCTGGCAAAAACTTTGTTGATAATCAATCATTGCTACTGAAAGTATGCACTGACTAAAAACCTCTAAAAGTACAGAGAGCCGAAGAGGGCCAATTCAAAACACTGGCCACGGTGTTTATTTTCTCTTTATCTTCTCCCAGGGTCAGGTAACAATTTAAGATTGTAAATGGTTCATTAGTTGGAAGAGTGACGGGCAGATTCACAAAAGAATTTTGCGGCTGCAAAACCTGCACAAAAAAGACAAAAGACACCGTGTAATTCTCAAAGCAACTGCAAAGGATGAAACCTAACTGTGCTGCCAAGCAAATGGCGTCTTGGTGCTCCTGTGCTATTGCATGTATTTAAACAAGGTAATATCCATGCTTCTGGTGCAAAATTGGCCCCTGTCTATGCAAATGAGCCATCCAATACACAAAGATCAGACTTCATAGCCCCCTCTTCAGAGAGTTGGTGTTTACTGAGGCACACTGACAGACTGGGATGATAAATCCCAAATCTCACAATTAAATTCCTTGCCTGAAGTTATGAGGAACGTCTTTGCACCCCATCAGTCAGGACGTGTAGCTAGCGGCCCAAAAATTTCAGTTTTCCCTCTGCCTTTGTTTTGCCTGATCGTGATCTTGGTGCAAAAGCAACATTTTCCACATGGATAACTGCAGTCAGACGCAAAGAAAAGGGGCAAACTACAGTCATCTGCAATATCTAAGTGGAGTAACTTTTGTGAACTGGACCTTACAACGGGGCAGACAGCTGTTGCAAGTGATGTGCACTTTATGGTGCTATCAGCTACTGCAATATATTCTTTGTAAATTCACCCCTAAGAGTCTACAGCAAACCAAGTGCTTATGTTTATGTCATGCATGCTACTATTTAGCAGTGTAATGATCATTTCAACCTGATGATGGCACTAGAGGAAAAGTCAGGGGATTATCAAAGTTATTACGGTTCATCCTGAGGCTGGGAACATGAACGAAAATTCATGGCAATTCATCCAATAGTTGTGACATTTTACTCATAACCTAACATAAATGTTAACCTCATGGTGGCGCAAGATCATTGTTGCCAAAATCCGCCAATGGTAGCCCCCAAAAACATTTTATGTGGCGTCCATACATGACATGAAATGCATTCATTAAATGTGAATCATTTGCGGCCCATTTTAATACTTTCACTTTCAATAGCTTATATTTAATACACTACTAGGAGAATGCATGAAACTGCACCCCCCTAATGAGCGTCTTTCAGGTTTTATTAGGAAGGACAACTTGTTGCTCATTTGTGGCAACTCATGAGTGGTGCCGAAGTAAAGTTCTGTCATCTGGGCTAGTGCTCTTAGCTAAATTTAGCGTTTTCACTGGACAACTTGCAATTGCACTATTCATCCCTCGACAATATGCTGGCTCCATAAATTGGCATCAAACCTTTGAGCACCCATGTGCTGGATGAAAAGTTAGCATTAGGATTCATCATCTGGGGACTATGAATGTCTATACAAAATTACCTGGACATGAGCATTTGATAGTTGTTGAGAAATTTCAGTTTGGACAACAGATTGAATGGAATATTACAGACTGACATTCATAAACATAAATCTTGGACAATGATTTAAAATGTTTTCTATTTCTTTGTGAACACAAAGGGGTGCTATGACTTCCATCAGCCTCAAGCAGCAACAAATCATCTCTTCCTCAGCAAAAACAGGTATTTCATCCATGCTCCAACAGCTCCATTTAACGCTGTGCTAAATTTAAACTACTCAGATTACCATATTAACACTTGGGATTAAGACATCTGAGTGTTAGGAATCCACTGTGAGTAACAATTGCATGAGAAACTTTCAGCAGTGCCGGTCAATGCTGCTGGCCAGGATTCAATTCACTGAAACCAGAGAGCTTGCTCATGCCACCCCACTCTTCAACATAACATTTACTTTTTATATGCTGTCATTAAGTTACCCTGATCATTGCACAAATTAATAGGTTTAGAAGGAGCAGTGTCAGCAGCACCACACTTATTATCTACCTGGAGCTGTGACTCAACAACGTTTCAGTGCAACAAAGACAGATGACTCATGATTAGTTTTTGATTATATGCTGTAAGAGACTTTGTGGGAGGTTTAATATTTTCACCAAGGTGAAGGATGTAACAAGAGCACTGACTTTTGTAGCACAGACAAAGTGGAGTGATTCATGTGTTCTGTGCAAGGTGGCGACCAGCTTTTCTGGTTTAACTCCCACTGACCTTTTTACCCACGCTGAAAATGCGTCTTAGCTACAGCACATGCTGACATCTCAGTTAACAGTGTTCAGCATCAGTCTCTTTAAAGCTAACATGTCTGGGCATATTTGCGCACTCATTCAGCTGAGTAAGTGAAATCTCTGTCTCATGCCTATCTCAGAGAATCATTCCTCTTGATCCCCTGTCCTCTGCAGACTCGTCAGTCCTCTGTGCCAGAGCTCAACAGGGATGAACAGTCAGTAAATCTGCCTTGTGGGAACATTCGTTTTCCTGAAACGTCTGATTCATGGTGCGGCTGGTGAAGGGCAAACCACTTTAACAAAGTGACACTCAGGAGGCGTGCATGAAGAGGACGGCTGTGAGGAGAAGGCTTAAAAAACTGAGGTGCAGGGGTGTGTCCTGGTCCAAGGGCAAGTTTGGGGCAATGACAATATATCTGAAACACTGTTACTTATTGATTGAGGATGAGAAATGTGATTGTGTTTTGTTATTTTAGCTAAAAGATTCAATGTATTCTCAGAAAGAAAGTCTCTATTGTTCACCTGTGTGTACCTGACAGTTGACTGACAGCTCCCTCTTGAGGCCGAGGCTGTTTCACTTATAGGAACAGTCCACCCCAAAATCAGAATATTTTTCCTAATACCTGTGGTTATATCAGTCTAGATTGTTTTGGTGTGAGTTGCCAAATGTTGAAGAGATGTTGCAGAGGTGTGTCTACCTTCTCTCCAATATAACAGGACTAGTTGCCACTCGGCTCATGGTGATCAGTTTATTGTAGGAACTATTTTCTTTCTACTGAACTACACCCGCCAAGTGAGTCACCGCACAGAAGGAAGCGTGCATCTACTGCTAGCTCACCTAGCACCACTGAGCTAGCTAACCTTGGGGACTGCCTAATGTTCCGACGGCCCAAAATTCCGCAGCCCTGTTGGTCTAAAAATGTCCCACTGAACGAAAGCACATTTCTTGCATTTCATATCTCTTTGTAGTTGTGGTTTTGTGTGTCTCTGTGGTCATTTTGTTTCTCCTTGTTGTTTGTTTTGTGTCTTTCTGTAGTCGTGTGGGACTCTTTGAGGCCATTTTGTGTTTATTAAGGTATTTTGTGTTTCTTTGAGGTAATTTGAAGTCTTTTTTGGTCATTTTGCCTGTCTGTAGTGATTTAGTTCTTAATTTGTGTCTCTTTGCATTGCCTTTGCATCTCTTTGTGGTCTTTTGGGAATGCTCATTGCTTTTAACTCCTGTTACTACAAAAATACACACTCAAAACAGTTAAAAAATGGTTCCATTGTACGTTTCTGTAACAACAGGTACGTTACATGAGTCAGCAACGCTGTGGTGAAGGTGTGGTTATGTTTAGGCACAAACCACTTGGATATGGTTGGGAAAAGATCCTTTTGACACTAACTGCAGGAGTGTGTTTTTTCTGAGAAACAGGACCTCGAAGCAATGGGGCTTTGTTTTTGGGATAAGGGCCGTTGGAGTAATGAGCGTTCGATCCAAAGTCATTTTCCGCGTTAATGGGGCTTTGGAGTTTTGGGTCGTCGGAACTGTGGCATGGCACCCTAACATTACAGCTAAGCTGAGGAAGACGCCATTTATGTTTGCATCTCACACTGTCATGAGCACAAGCCTCTTGTCAGTGAGTAGATGCACACTTCCTTCCATGCTTTGATATGGTTGGCGGGTGTAGTTCCGCAGAAAGAAATTAGTTCCTACATAAAACTGCTGATCTGATTTGGGGCGTGAACTGTCCCTTTAACAGAAATCAAAATACTGACAAAGAGCACTGCCCCACTGAACGCATAATATCCACAGCTACGTAGGAAACTTGATTACACACACCTTTCCACGTAGGAAAGACAGATCTCGGCTTCCTATGATGTGCAGCTCCTCTGTCGATTGGTCATTCTGGGGGCAGAGAACACAAAAATGGAAAGATGATTCGTATTATGCAGTTATTCTAAATAAAGTATGTCTCAAGTTGTTCACTCTGTGCTGAAATCAAGATTTATTCTTTCCAGCGGCCAGAAATGACAATAAATGCTGTCAGACTGGGAATGAAATAGCACACTGTATGTTTTCTCATGGACACGTAACTGGAGTGTTTCTCAATAATTTGGCTCTACTGCAAAATACGTAAGAAAGAACTGTCTGCAGCAAAAATGCCACACAAAATTTATTTTACAAGACTTTAGAGTGCAAAATATTACCCTCAACATAAACAAAGACAGGCTCTCTCCATCCCTGTGGGAAGCACAGCGAGGCAAAGCTTTGAAGGATGGCTTTGAAGGCTTTGAAGTTAGATTTGGTCGGCTACAGATGCATCACTTGGATAAGAGGAGCAGTGACATGGACAAAATCCTGGCCCTGGGGGCAGGTCACATAACTCCATCATGACCTGTGAGACTGACTAACAGCGTCATCACTCAGACACTGTCCTCTAGTGTCGTAATGGTGACTCTGCCATGTTGTTTGTTGACATCAGAATGTAATTATTATGTTTTGGGACTGTTTTAGTGTTTTAATGATTATTTTAGTGTTTTTATTCTTTTGTACAGCCTCATTACTTTTATACTTTATTTTGATTTATTGATTTATGTAAAACTTTTCCCTGCCACAGTGAGACTGATGGTAAAAGCAAATAAGGACTAACTAAATACACAAACTCATCTACCTCATGTTACATGCAATAAAAACTGGAAATGTGCAACACCTAAAATTTGAAAAAACAAACAAACATCTGAATGCCCTGCAGGTGGAGCTTATATTCTTATATTTATCATACTTTTTTATACCTTTTTTGTGCACTTTATCTTTTACTATTTATTACCTGACTATTTCTGACATGACTGTTTTTTGCACAAGAATTCCTGTGTACTCAGACTGTGTCCAGGTGTGCAAATGGCAAATAAAGTTATCTTATCTTATCTTATCTTATATTGTGGTAATGTACTTATTACCAGTTTCACATATAGTTTTAAGCTTGAATTGTGTGTGTAAACTATAAAAAAACAATGTAAGAGATAAAATGTAAACCAGGGTGAAAGCAGATATCCCACTTAGCAGAGAATGAGAAGTTCCTATTTTCTTGGAATTAATTGTGTGAAAGCACAGGATGGATAAATGTGTAATTTAAGGCCATTCAGACAAGGATTTTACCCATTTAGAGTCACTATTTCTTAGTATGAAGACTAAAAAAATAAAGTTAGCAAATGAATTTTTGAGGATTTCTGGTTGAGTTTTCCATACTAGAATGTTAATTCAATGAAATGAGCTGTTTTGTTTGTTGTTTTTATGTGGTTATAGTGTGTGTAAGTTGTGTATCATTGTATGTTTGTGGACTCCAGGAAGAATACAGGATGCTGATGCTAACAGGGATCTCGAGAAAGAAAGAAAGAAAGAAAGAAAGAAAGAAAGAAAGAAACTTATAGCCTTTCATTATTTCCATGTTTGTATTTTTTTTCTTTTTTTTTCTTATTCTATCTTCGTTCTGTGTTTATATCTGTTCATCTGGGTGGCATGCTGCTGCATACAATTGTCTTTACAGGGCTTATTAACGTTGTTTTGAAATGAATTGAATTATGACCTAGTCTTGTCAACTCCCTGCAGGTATATTTTGTTCTTTTTGTCCTATTGCGTGGTAAAAAATCTAATTTGTGACATTACAATATGACCTCACTGTGGCTGAAGCGATCCAGCAAGGCAATAACAATAATTCAGTTTATGCTGTCCATATAGCTCCTTAAACCTCTGTAAAAGCCAGTTCTTAAAATCCTCCCCTGTGCTGAAGGGAGAGAAAAGACGAAATGCAACCACATGCAGAGAAATGTAAATCACATCATTTTGGATGCACTCTGTGCCAAAGTACACTAAAGAATAATAATGGATTGTGGTGACAAGTGCAAAGCGACATCACTGTAAACATTACTACATCACTCCCAGAGTTAATTCCAGGGTTTATGCATTCCAGGTGTTAGACAGTGTCATAAGCTGTTTCTCTTGGCAGCAGCAACAGCACCAATTAGCAGTGTGGTATTTTCATGAGCTGAGCTCTGCAGCAGCTCCACAATCAATCGTCCTTGAGGTGTCCTGCCCTAATGTTGCTCTGTCCTCATGAAACACGAACAACAGTGACATCTGCTGGTGGCTGAGCCAAAGTCAGATGCAATATTTAGTCAGATGTGAGATGTAAAGATGGGAAAGTGTCTTTGGTACATGCATGTAAGGACTGTAACCAAGGATTATTTCGATTATTAGGTTATCTGCCAGTTGTGTTGTCTAAAATGTACAAAAATAATTCTTAAAATGGCTTGAAAATGGCTTGTTTTGCCCATCCAACAGTCCAAAACCCAAAGATGTTCACTTTATCATGTTAACAGTCATAAAAGGCAGAAGATCCTCTCACTTGAGAAGCGAAACCAGTAAATATTTGGCATTTTCACTCAATAAATGGCTTTTAATTAGTTCTCAAAATGATCAGTTTTGTTAGTTCATTTTCTGTCGACTGAGTAATCAAATAATCAACTCACTAAATGTTCCATTTATTCCATAATTTCAGCACTATGTAACTGTATTTTATTGTCTTTTTGGGGGCAATATTTTGCCTTCATTAGAGAAAACAAAGATGGGGAATAACTTGAAAAAAAGGGCTCCTGGCTAGACTTGAACAAGGGACATTGCAGGTCATGGCTAGTGCCACTGAAATAAAGGTTTAAGTGATCAGTCATAACTCAGGTCAGGTGCTTGACATCTATCCGCAATAACCTCTAAGAAAAAAAAAGAAAGAAAGAAAATGCACTCAATTAAAGAAGCAGAGAACAGCTGTGCCTTCAATTATTTTTTTCATGTCATAATCTTGAGATCATGAGTTAATTATTTTGTTATCAGGAGAAAACAAGCTTTGTTTTCACGAGATAATGAAATAATCAAGTCGTTATCACAAGAAAACAAAATGTCGTTTCCTCTTATTACTTATGATGTTTATCAGAGAGCAGGAGTGCCATAGCCGCATGCATAGATGGCGTCTTGACAACTGTAGCGATTGATTTTAGCTGAAAATGTTAGATCAAGGAGTATCTATTATTAATGCATTGGACTCAACTTAAATCAAGGTTCAGTTATGAATCCTCCCCCACAGTCATGACAATGATAAAATCAGGTGTGATCAAATGAACCAGACACTAATTTTAAAGTTCTCCACAACTATCCTTTTGTTTTCTCGTGAAAAATGATGTTGTCATCTTGACAACTCAGCATTTCTATTTGACCTAAAATGACCTGTTATCATGAGTAGTAGCTGTAATGTGGTATATGTTGTGCTGTTTGTAATGGAGTGTAGTGGTATGTGTATTGTAGTATATGTTGTGAATGATGTGATGTGTATTGTGGTATATGTACTGGTGTGAGTATTGTAGTATGTGGATTGTGGTTATGTATTTTATTGTGCCTTCCGTGCTTTTGGTGTGTTGTGGTTTTATGATGTTAAAAACTGTTCATTTTTATTAACATTGTAGGCCTACATGTAAAAGCCTAACTGGGAACAATGTTAATTGAATAATCCCTGTCAAATAAAATAAAGAAAAGAAAATGCAGTGCTCTATTGCATTTGTTGTTTATATAAATATAAGGCAATGTTTAGCTTTGCAGCGCAAATTGTAATGTGATGTGACACAACTTCCTTACTGGTTAATGTCAATCAAACCATGTCGCTCTTTGATTTTTTAAAATTAATTCATTATTTTACTCCTTTACGATCGTTAAATATTATTTATTTATTTACTCGCGACATGGGGAGCAGGGGGCTGCAGAGGGTGGTGGCTGAGTGGACAGAAAAAGCTTTGCACAACTGTATATTGAACTTTCATTTGTCTTTCTTTGTGAAACTAAATAACAATCCAATAAAAAAAACTAAAATAAAATACAAGTAGATCAAAAATAAGTGCAAGCATGGCTGTTATTGGCTTCCATACTCACATACCTTGCTGTAATGTAGTAGTATTTTTGTACACTGCAGTTCACATACCTGGTAGCTCTTCAGACGGATAAACTCCACCCGGGTCTCCAGGTACTTGTTGGAGTTGCGGCCGAGAACCTTGATGAACTCCACCAGGTCTGCACAGAACTTGTAGCCTCCCTTCAAGACACACAGCACCATTATGCTGTCCCCAAAGTCATCCATGACGTAGCCGGCCAGACGCTCTACCCTGCACGAGAAAAATCACATCAAGACAAATTACTAGGAAATTATTTTTTAAAAAGTCACTTTGCAGGTATGTTTATGCAAATTTTTACCTGTTCATGATGACACCATGTGGTATGTAGACACTCTCTATGTCTTCGTGGTAGTGTTCAGGGTAGGTGAACAGGTCCAGGCTGTATCCTGGCCAGTCATCTTTAATCTGGGACAGACATCTTATTGTTAGATGTGTAAGTATATTATTTGGTCAAACAGAAATAAAATATGGTATTTCTTTGCATAATTTTGAGATAGCGCAATAGGAAGTCATGTGGAGGCATTTTAAAAGCCGGGAGTCTTAAAAACTTAAATTCAAAGCAGCTGCCGACAGAACTTCACAGCTTTGTACTCTAGTTTAACAAGCATTGTTATCCCTCAGCATCTGTACCCTTTAAGCTCACACAGCGAAGCATTATAACTACAATTACTGACTTTATCTTAATCATATTCTTCTGTGTTCATGAATGAACACAAACCCTGAAAGCTCTTTAAAAGCTGCTTACTGTTGAATTAATCAAATAATGACTTCAAGGGATTCATTCAGAGAAAAGCAAACATGTTATCTTCTTACAGCAGCTGAGCAAATAATTACACACATAAATAATCTCTCTCTGTTGACAATAATGTGACCTACATTTCTGAATACAGCACGAGATAATCTGGCTGAATCATGTGTTTGTGTTGAACATACCACAATTCCTCTTTTCATGCCTGTGCTGTCCATTTGTAGTGGTGTGAAAATTGTCTTCACTGGGACAAAGACTCAGGATAGGACACAGGTAGCAGTGACCTTCAGAGGAAACACAGACATAGTTCACTGCACATACACTGGATCAAATAAAGAAGGCTTTCCATCTTTCCTTGTAATGATATGGTACAAGAAAAAGCAATAACAGAAACAAGAGAAACATACTCACAGTTCTGTTGCCTTCTTTCCAGCCACCATTCACAAACCAAGGAGGAAAACAAAAGAGTGTCAAAAGATATCTGGGGACGTCCTGTCCTGTCCAGCCTCATGGGCTGTGGGATCACGCTTTAGTCATTTGCATAAAAAGACAGCGTTGTTTTAGTCGTAGAGAATTACAGGGATAATCAGATGCATGTGATGCTGGCTTCACGAGCTGCTGCAGGACAATGAAAACAACTGATAACAAATATTTGCTTCAGTTTCTATGCAGGACATTTTATTCAGTCAGAATTCAACTATTTTTAAGGACACTCTTACAGACTACACAGCCAACTATTTAGTCTTTTGTTCTACAAGAAATCACATTTAAAAGAAACAGCTGTTTGCCATTATATGCAGCTCAAAATGTAATATTTCTATAATATAAAGAGGCGTTAAAGCTACAGTTGGTGACTTTTATGAAAATAACTTTTGTCATATTGGCTGAAACTGTCATACACAGTAAGACAAAATATGTGAAAAAATTAAATTACTGCTCTCAGAAGCACCTCTTAGTGCCTTTAATGGTATCTGCAAGACTGAAAGAAAAGGCCTGAATGAAAACAACCAATCAGAGCACAGGAGTCTTAAAGGGCCTATGTCCACATAGCTTTTTTTTTTTCAAGCTCTTCTTTCAATTATTCCCAATTAAGTCCGACTTATGCGCCCGCATGCAGCTGACTAGAAAAAAAAGTGCCACACCCAGCGTCTTTTTTTTTGCGCAGTCTCTTTTTAGAATGCCATCGGTGTCATCTATGATGCTCCCTTTCAGGAAATCAATCACCTGGGACAGTACTCATCACCCTAAAAACCAAGATGGAGGAGAAGCTAGTTCTGGCCGCATTTATTCGAGCTATATATATTGGACAAAAACCATTACAACAGAAAAGCTCATTTGTGGGCGCAGATCAGACACTGAATGTTGCTGGTGTGTGTTGTGCTTTACACCACACTGATTTAGTGATATCTAAAGCACAAGTACTTGTATAAGCTTGTTAGCTGTGTAGTCAACCCTCTGTTCACATAACATCATCAAACAAGACACTGGGAGTGCTTTCTGCCACAGCTTTTCGGCCAAAGTAAAACAATTATGTGGACACAAGCACTAACACAGCTGTCAATCAGGTCATGAACTGCCAACAAACTGTCAAACTAGGCAACGCTGATCAAATATGAATCAAGATTCCGTTACTGCATTGCCCATTTATTGCCTTAAATGTCTTCACAAACATCTTTTAGGGTACTGTTTAGCTGTAAAATGAGAATTTTTGCTACCTGGTCGCCATGTCAAACTACAGTTGAGCCGAAAAGTGAGCACCACCCACCAGCTGAAGTAAACTTCCTTACTGAATCTTGATTTTTATTTCATCACAATGATTCATTTTGATTCATAAAGTTAAAAACTGTAGCTTTAAATTACAAAATTTCCTTCAAAATTACATTATATTTCACCAAGAGTACATCACTTTAAAAACATGATTTGCCCTGTTAGTGGTACATGTAACGATGGCAATAGTCCATTGTGAATTCTCTCACTGACTGGCCAGACTGCTTTTGAATTTGCTGTGAATTTACACACTCCCCAGAGGGTAATTCTAAATGATTCATTAACTCGCAGTGGAGTTTCATCTATTTTCCATGTTTCATGTGACAGATCATGAGAATATACACATACAGAATTTTATTTTACTCAAGCCCACGTGATATGTGAAGTAAGGGTGTTGGTCTCAAGACAGTACAGTACATCTAATTTAATGTTTTTTAATATCTTAGTTATTGGAGATGTAGATGGTCTTAAACCTCTCGAAGAGGTTGATGTCGTTCTCCAGCTGCTTTATTGCCACTTCCAGACGTTCCTTGTGGGACTTTTTGGACAGGCTGTCTGTGACGAGAGAGAGGCCCTGGTACTCACGGTGCAGCTGATGCAAGTTCTTCCTCAGGCCCTGCATAGTGAACCCACATGGTCAAACACACAACTGTCACAATAAAATCAGCCTGATAATGTGACTGTTAGTATTCAACACTTAATGTAGCTTAGACATATGGTATTAATTCAGCTAGTTGTGACAAAAATCTGCATGGGGGAAACACATACAGTAGGCCATTTTATCCTGATTTATTAGGACTGAAAAAAGTATTTTCCTAAAAACATCAAAGGCATGAAATCATCAGATTAATTTCCTCCAGTTGTATGATTCCCTGCTGTTTTTTTGAAGAGAAGTGGCATCATGCAGCCATGTGTTTAAGTACCTCCAGGACGGCTCGTCGCTCCTCGTCAGACAGGTGTTTCATGACTCCCTGCTCCCGCTGTTCTTTCACAAACTCGTCATACTCTTCCTGTGCTCTCCGCTCTTGTTCATTGCGCTGCTGCAGGTACTCTGGTACCTCTCCGTAATGCTGCAAATAGGAACTGGAAACTTTAGATAATACTTTCACAGTGGCAAGATGGATTAAAAAGGGGAGTGTAATTACGTTTTTTCTATGTGCTAACTGTCATGTAATATTCTATTTTTTTTTTCTAAACTTATCCGACTGCCATAGCTGATTAAAGTGTCAAGTGTTGTAGAAAAATACCTTTTTCTTGATGTATTTGGGGACAAGTCCTGAATTCTCAAGAGGCTGCTTATGTCCTTTGCTGGTGTCCACACAGACAGGCTGGGGCTTCATTGGCACCACTGTAGCTGTCTTTATGAAGTCTCTCTTGGTGTGAATACCCATAGGTGGGATCTCTGTCCTCGCAGGAACAGGCGGTCTCTTCATAGTGCAGGTGTTTTGGACCTCTTTCGAACACTGTGTCTCTGAAACAGCACATAAATTTGAATGAACAACAGATCAAAGATGCAACCACTCACTGGTGAATTAGTCAGTAGGAGAACCCACTTTCAGGTAATTTAGGCTCCTTTGAGTGCTTCTTGAGGTACTTCTCCGGGGAGGGCACCTCTACTTTTGCCGGTCCCATTGTCCTCATTGCACCCTTGTTTGACTTTTCCTCAAGAATAACTGTTGGCCTGTACTTGGACATGTACCTTCAGGTGCAGCACAAGAATACATTCTTTAAACACAATAAAACAGGCTGACAGTAAAATTCAGATTAGTATACTTTCTTTTATTTACATGCCAAAATAAATAAAATGTGTATACAATTAAGACAAACTTTGCAACAGGCAAACATAATGATAAATGCTTCTTATTACTCATTCATTTTAGCTTATTTCTGATATAGGTCAAATGTTAGCCAGGTAACAATAAATATCTTAGCTAATTTCCATCTGGTTTGTCAAAATTAAGGGCCTAACTTCTCCACCCAACTACAGGTCTTTTTAATCTTTGAACATGAACAACTCCTTAGTTACAGCCTGTAGTCTAGCTAACTTGTTTCTGCTAACTAGCTTAGCTACGTGAAGCTAGGTTGATTTAACATAAGGTTTAGAGTAGAGTAGGTACCTTTGCGGCTTTTGAGCATGAACCTCCTCCTTTGTAAGAAGGTTGTAAACGCTTTCTGGTGGATACACAACTTCCGACATTTTGACGGACTTTAAGCAGGCGAAGGATTAAAAAGACACGGTGAAAGTTCACCTAACTAACTAAAAAACTGGCTAGCTAACTTGGCCAAGCTAACATGGACTAAATTCTGGGGTTAGAGTAATTTGTTTCACAACACGCAGCCGGCTAGTTGCTAGGCAACGGAGGGAGCAAATGTTGCGTTACATGACAGTTGTAAAGCTGTAAATTTAGATTCACATGTAAGTAAAGCTAAAGTTCACGAACAGTGTCATGGTTTTGATAAAGGATTCGTATACATCTTTTTTTAGTTATCCAATTAAAACCTTTATTTTTTTCAAATGCTACGGCGCACACAATCTCTGTGCCGCTGAATTACAAATTTATAAAAAATCAGTCTTAACCACAAAAAAGGGTCAGAATATTTTTTTAATTGATTCTGATTCTGTTTCCATGTCTTGCCTTATCATAATTAGCATAAAATTGCATTTTCCTTACATGAAAGTGAGTCTACTTTAGAATTCGGCTCAGCGGAATACAACATTCCGAGGAGCATCTGAATGCAGCACAAAGGTGACTCTAGCTTCTAGCACGTTCCGCGATGCAAAAAACCTATGGTAGTTAAAGTGATTCACGTTCATATATCGTTCAATTTGTAAGCCCCCGGTTAGACTTCATAGAAAATAAAATAGTTGAATTACTGTATATTTTTTGCAACAGGAAATCGACTTCTCATTGAGGATACATCACTTTTGTCCCTCCAGGCTGGCCGTAGTTGTTTGTGACTACTTCACAGTGCAGTGATCCTCCGGTCATGTGTGTTGTAGTGCAGCTGCATGGTGCTTTACCGTTAAAACAAACCATATAGATACCACAGAGTCCATTAAAACATGAATAATCCGGTTTGAAGTACGGAAAGACGCCATTTCACGTGAGTGTCGTGTTCATTCAGCTTATATGATGACAGATCAACTGTCCTGGCTAACACGTGCAAAGTTAAAGCAGTGTCAGGGGGTAGTGTCCAAACATGAGGTGACAAATGTGTTACTTTATTTTAAATGTCCTTATTTTTCACAGGACAAAAGCCTGCTGTCATTTGACTCCTCAATGGGTTTCCTGAATGCATTGAGAGCTGTCAGATGCTACCTCAGCCTCTTTCCAACGTCCAAATCATGCCTCTCCACCAAAGCCTCCCTGCTGGGGGACACAAACATCCTGCTCATGGGTGCTCCTGGAGCAGGGAAGACCACAGTGGGGAGGATAGTGGCCCACAGACTGGGGCTACCTGTCATTGACGTTGATGATGATGTCTTGGAGACGACATGGAGGATGCCTGTGGCTGCCAAGCTGGCAGCAGTTGGTGGTGAGTGTTTCCTGGAGGAAGAAGGCCAGGCTTTGTGTAACTTCTCTGCCTCTGGGTGCGTTGTCTCCCTGACAGGCTCTAACCCTCTTCACGCTGCAGCGATGCAGCACATAAGAGAGTCCGGGCTGGTGATCTACCTGGACGTGGACAGCGAGGACATCATACAGAGACTTGCTAGGATGAAGGTGAACAGGATAGTGGGCCAGGAGGCAGGGGTGTCCATGAAAGACATTCTGTGTTACAGGAAACAGTTTTATGAGAAGTGGCTTGATGTGCGGGTGCTGTGTGGAAAAGGGGACACAGTGGAGGAAGTGGCAGACAAGGTGCTGAAGGCTCTGGAGAGGTATCAGAACCATGCTGCAGAAACATATGTGTCAACCAGGAGTGACAGCGTAGCATCGTCCAATCAAAAAGCATACTTCAGTGATGTGGTAGTTGAGGGTCTGGCCACAGATGGAGGCCTCTATGTTCCCAAAAATGGCTTCCCAAACCTCGATGCTCGTGAATGGCTGAGACTAGTTGACATGTCGTACCCAGAACGAGCATTAGTTTTACTTGAAAAGTGCATACACCCGTTGGACGTCTCTGCTTTGGATCTCAGAACGATGATATTCAAAGCATATGGATCTAACTTTTCTAGTGAGGCAGTAGCACCTGTGAAACCTCTTGTCCACAATCAGTATGTTCAGGAGCTTTTTCACGGCCCCACCGCCTCATTTAAGGACCTCGCCTTGCAGCTGATGCCCCAGCTCTTTGCTTACTGCCTCCCACAGATGTGCAACTACCTCATTCTGGTGGCCACCTCTGGGGACACAGGAAGTGCAGTGCTCAGTGGCTTCAGCAGGCTCAGTGGCGTTGACAAACACAGGACAGGGGTGCTGGTGTTCTTCCCAGAGGACGGCGTGAGTGAGATTCAGAAGCTTCAGATGACGAGCTTCAGGGAGGGCAACGCCAGGGCCGTGAGCATCCTGACAGACTTTGATTTCTGTCAGAGAACCATAAAGAGGATGTTTGGAGAGTCTGGGCTGACCGGACACCTCGCTGTGGAGTATGGCACAGTCCTCAGCACCGCCAACTCCATCAACTGGGCCCGGCTGTTGCCACAGGTGGGTTTATAACTGAGTACGACTCCATGAAAAAAAACACTTTCTGTTATAGGGCTTGTCCATAACAAAGATTTTGACTTAAAGGGTAGGTTTGGTATGTTTCAACCTGGACCCTTTTTCC